AACACGAATGCTATTTTTTAAAAGATTTATTTATTTATGCATACAAGAACTGGGGTACAGGCCAGAGTTGTGGTGGGTGAGAGGATTCACCAGAGACAGGGTGAAGAACAGAACAGGCAGACTGACTGAAATACTCTGCTGAGGGGAGTAGCAGGCGAGTCAGGAGAGGTCTGCTGCACCAAGTGGGTAGCTCCCTGGCTGGGGATCAAACTTGTGCTGCAGTGGCTGTGGATAGCATCATAGATTGCGTCTTAACCCCTTGCGCCACTCAGGAGGCCCACAAATGCTATTTTTTAAAAGAAAGAAGCACAGAATCCCCATGGACCCAGTCTAGAGAGTGTGTAATGATCCCCTGGATCTAGTGTGGGGTGGGGTGGAAGTGGGGGGCAATGTACTTGGGACCGGCAGGGAGTGTGCTCAGTCCATTTGGTGGAGTTCCTATGCATTTGGAGCAATCTGTATTTCAGAACTCTTAGTGAGGTTTTAGATGTGCCCCACTCACCAGAGTCTTTTTCTTTATTACAGTTTTGCCAAATATGCAAATATTCCAGAAACTAGTGTCCTGGAGGCTCTGGGGACTTCTGAGATCTGACCCAGCACACCCTGGCTGGCTACTCACACAGTTGTGACCCCCAAACTGACTATGAGGGAGCTTAGTTGTAGAGCCAGGGCTCTACAACTTTTCATTTTAACTCAGGCTCTCTTCATTTTAACTCAGGCTCTCTTCATTTTAACTCAGGGAAACATATATAGTTTTCAGGTTACTTAATTAAAAAATCCTTTATACTCTTAATTTTATAAACAATTCAGTGGTGTAAGTAATATTTTGTGAAACATTTTAAAACATCCCTAACTTTAGGACTCACTGATTAAATTTGAAAAAATTCTCAGAGAAATGATTTATTCCTATTTTTGTCTCTTGGTTGTACTGTAACACTTCAGGAATATATATCAGAATGAATGTGTTTCTAGATGGCATTTATCTAAGTTGAACGAACACTTTGCCCACAGAGCTTTTTGCTTACACATCTCAAGTTTCAGTAGAACAGAATTTTCTGTATAATCGTTTCTCTACTTAACTTTATAAGGAAACACATGTCCAAACTGAGGATAGCCCCACTTTAAGTTTCAACATGGTTTGGGTTTTACAGCATCCAAGATTTTCCTAACTACGCACCTCTTTTTTTTCTTTCCTTTTTTTTTTTTTTGGTCTTAAAACACGCTCTTTTGGCTGGTTCAATAAGTTGTCCTGCCAACCAGTTGCTTTTATGGTAATTGACAGCGTAGCTGATTTTTTGGAACTTTAGAATCTAAAAAGGCATTTGAGCTCAGACTCTGGAGACGCTGAGCCAAGCTACTTGCAGAGTAAGAGATACAGCTGAGCTGAATGTAGGGCAGGCAGACCCTAAGTCTGTGCATGTTAATTAATAGCAGTAGTATTTCTGCTCTAGCTCAGACTGCTGATTTCTCTTCCCAGCAGTGTGCAGAATCCTTTCTTCTCCTGTCAGATTGTTTCTTGAACTACTGGGCCACTTCTGGAGGGGAGCCAGCGAGACCGTGTGTCTGCAGCGGGCAGAAGCGTGAGGAGCGCCGTCCACACTGGTTGGGTCACAGACCTGCGGGCCCTCAATGCTGACTAGTGGCTGGAAGCCACGTGAACCAGCTACACGTGGACAAGCTTGTACTTCAAAGGAAGAGAACATAAAAACATCTTATATTTAATACAAATGATTTAATATAATGAGCAGATTACAAATTCTCTGAGTTTCCCTCAAATGTCATTTCTCAAATAGCTGGGCTATTGCCCCAGATTTCATCTCAGCATAACAAATAGAAAAAAACCTCAAACTACTAGATCATTCTAGTCCTTTGCTTGCCTACAAAAGCACAAATGTTTCAGAGTAAAAGGGCCCCTGTCTGCTGTCTTCCTTTTGCTAGTGCTTCTGGGAATGAGCGCACACCCCTCTATGGGAGGTGACTCTTGGACATACAATATCCCAGTGACACCTGGCAGCCCACCAGTAACAGCAACAGGAAAGTGTGCCCTCTGACAACAATTCATGTGTTGAACCAAATCCTCCTTGGACACAGAGACCCCCCAAAGTGGTGGTAGTCGGCTCTTTCTGGTTGATTTGAAAGCTTTGAGATTGAACTTTGTTACACACGCGTGTAGCATTAGCTATTAACAGAGAAGCAAAGTCTTTCTTCTGTGCATTGCTTTTTATGGAAAATTTTCTTCTGTTGCCAATCAAGGAGCTTACATCCAGACCTCATGACATTGAACATGCCCATCTTCTTAATAAATCAAATACAGAGCCTGATCTTTTCGATACCCATTGTTGTGCTTCATGAAACCAATTAAGAATACTGGAACGGGGGCGGGACTCTCTGTTTTTACACTTCAAAGGTATTTTCATAGGCACCAAACTGTAAAACACATACATCCAAAGAGTAAGCAGAATTTATAATTTCACAGTTGGCTCTAGGAAACTCATTTCTTAATGGAACAAGTTCAAGGAGGCAGCCACAGAGAGGGCAAGCGGCATCCGGTCGTTCATAGGATGAAAGGACATACGAGTGCACTTTTCTTAAATTGAAGCTCTCGGTGCATCTAAGCAGTGATCACATATTCTCCTCCCACATGCAGGCCCCATTCACCTCTGGCGTTTCAGGGTCCGGAGCTCATTGCACCTTTCATAGCCATAGGCTTCCTCGTTGCCAGCTGTGCTGTAATCTCTTGCAGGTTGAGGTCCAGGTAGGATTCTGATTCGGGCCCCTTTGCATATGTGAGACTTTAGTTTGTGAGCCAGATCATCAGTTACATGGTCTTTTCTAAATTATGTTTTGTTATTTCCCTAATGTTATTTAAGCTTCATGGAACTTAATCTGCTTTTGCCAAGTCTTTCCATTGAATAAATATCTCCATAACTTATTGCTTCACTTTGGCAACAGAATTGTTGCAATTTGTGGGCAAAATTGAGCAAAGGCCTAACTCATTTCTTTCTTCCCTCTGTAAAGTGTCCAATGTCGCTGGCTTTCCTGCTGCACAGAGGCCCTGACTTGTTTTCTGTTCTGGTGGCACCTTGTCTCTGTCATCATGGAGGGAAGATTTAGATAATATCACTAAATGCCATGACACAGTGGACGTAACAAAGACAAGCTGTCCACACACAGAGTCGCTGATACTAACAAAGTGAAGGTGCAGAGTGCTGCCAGCAGGGCCTGACACATAAGAACTAACCCACAGGCTAGAATTATCAGAGTTCTGCGTATTAATGTCTTCATTCTGTCTCTCCAGGCACATGAGTAATCTCGGAATTCCAGAACTCTCTCAGAGATGTAGTTACCCATCCATGTGGACCTGGAGGACCCAGAAGCCTACAAGGCTCTAGCAGGGACATTCCAGCCCCTTCCAGATCCACCTGTTTCCCCAAAGCAGCCATAAAATGAAAGGAGACCAAAGAAACTGACTTCTGTTCCATTCTGGGCCAGACACACATTAGCCCATTGATTCTTCATAACAACCGTGTCATTAATCTACTAAGTGCTGCTGTCTTATTTGGGTCCTAGGTGGAAAGGGCTGTGCAAAGAACTCAAAAAATATTGTCGCCTGCCCCATACTCTGAGCCTGACTCGGGATCTGTTAACAGACTTCCCTGATTCTGTCCCTTCACAGAGGGCATTGAAGTTTAGCTCCCTGATCTACATGTCATGGAATTATTTTTCCTAGGTTATATTTTCCCTAGGAAACTTTGTTCTATTTGAGCTAGGGCTGTTCTTCTCAGGTGTTCTAGTTCCATGTCTCCCTGAGAGCCCCGAACTGGAAATTATGCTGCGTTGTCTAACTAGCCCTGAGCACTGCAGAGAGAGAGAAAAAAAAAATCGCAATGAGAAATATAGAGCTGAACAAACAAAAGAAAAGGAGGACAGCTTCCCAAAGGCTGTTAGGCTGTCCAGCAAGCGTTGTGTTTTCAGTGTTTCCTGGTGTGGTGCAGTCCCTCATTCTGGCATTTGGTAATGTTTATTGCTGTAGATGATGATCGTGCTGGTGGTGACTGAGCCACTCGACTTTGGGCTCACGAGAGGTCCAGCCCCTTCCTTTGTGCCTACCTCCAGACCCAGACTGGTACCCTAGAACCCTCCCACATCTCTCCCACCTTCCCTCTTCTATTTTTGTATTCCTAAGACCACATTCTTTCAGCCAAAGGAGTTACCTGGAGGGATTTAATGAAGGTTAAGAACCTGTTTTATTTTTATATCTACGTGGTATGAGTATGCATCAGTGTTCTGATTGAGGAGGGGGCAAATCTGTACCAAGTTGAGTGCACAAGCCAAAACCCACCTCCTAACTTTCATTTCCTGCAACAGCAGGATGAGGAGTGTTTGGAGCTGCAAGACGGTGCCGGCGTGTTCCAAAGTGCCAGGAAACCCTGCATGGCTATTGGCGTTGGGTCTGTGACTCATCTGCTGAATCTCCAGAAGGACCTATTTGTCAACCTTTTTTCTCAGATGAGGGTTTCAGTCCCACGAAATCCTAGATCATTGAGCCAGAGGCACCCTGAAGAGCTACAAGCCCCCTTATTTAATAGTAGAGGGCACTGCACCCCAGACCTGAAGGGACACTGTAATCTGTCCACAGCTGGCCGGTGGCAGGGCAGGACCAGAGCCTGGCCCTGGTCTACCTGGGTCTCCCCTGCTTCCACCCTTTGATGCCTCACAAAAAGGCCTGGTTTCTCAGAATAAATGAACCTCAGATTTTTGTACATTTATGAAAACTACTCTTTATTCGTTATTACCTGGTCTCATCTTATTCCTGCTTCTTAACAGAGAGTTGTTTTTGGTTTTTTTTTTTTTTTGCAACTTCATTTAAATGACTTTATCTGTGTAAAATGATAACTAATTTTCAACCATGTTTCCTGATGAATTTTATTCCTGGTAACTAATGATGAAACTTCTGAGATTAAAAAAGTAAAATAATTGATTTTTACTTTTATTTGCAGACACTCTGGAAAATGGATCCAGTAAGGGAGACAGGTGAGTAAGATGTTTTTATTTGCTATTTGAGCTTTTCAGAGATGGCATTTTCTATGTACAAGCTGTGAGTTTGATAATTTCTTTTTTCTATTTTGCTTAAATCCAGTGCAGCTAATAGAAAGGGTCCAAGCAAGGACGACACATACTGGAAGGAGATTAATGCAGCCATGGCCTTAACAAATCTTGCACAGGGAAAAGACAAACTGCAGGGAACCACCAGCTGCATTATCCAGAAGTCATCACATATAGCAGAAGTAAAGACGGTCAAAGTGCCACTGGCCCAGCAGTTCTAAGCATCTGTCACATGTCAGATCAATGGCTATTCCTCATGTCCGTGTTTTTTCATAAATCCTCATTTTCAGAGCCGAAGTAGGCGTAAAAAAGACTCCCTTTCAAACCTCTTCTTGTTTTTTAATTATCCTAACTATATCATTTAATTGCTTCTATAAAAGACATATAAGTTATAAAAAACTCACTTTAATCAAAAAATATTAACTTATTTTATGTTACTCAAAACTATGCATAAAATGTCTGCATTGCCATTACAGTAAGTGCCTTGCTTCCCGAAAATAAGCTACAACGTGGGCATAGCAGAACAACTATGCCTCAAAATGACAGCGCCATCATGCTTATTAGCCTGTGTGTATCGTTCCAGATGGACATTCCAGGGTAGAAACCATAATTGTTGAAAGCCCTTGAAATGCAGTCAATAATTCACATGTTAGAACTTGAAAATCTATTCAGTCCAAGTGAAATGTTCCCTTAGAAAAACTTTTCTAGTATCTTAAACTGTTTGGTGTGTTTTTCCGAGTGACAGCGAGAATTTTATGCCTGCATATCTGATATACAAAACTGAAAGCTATTGTGCACCTTCAAGAAGAATCTCAGTGAGTTCACTGTGATCAGAAACCTTTCTCCAAGCACTGCTGGAAAACACCATGCCTTTTAGAATGAATTTGGATTTTCTTTCTCTTAAGTCATGATGAAGGTTAGGGAAAAAAAAAACAAAACTTCTTTATATAAATAACTCAAAATGTTCTTGCATAGACCTAAACCTATACTTTGTTTTTAAAACATAGCCCTGTTTGCATTAGCTTTTAGTGGGTTTTGTGATAGAAAGTGTTTTTTATATGGAACAGCTAAAAACTTTTTATTTGGTTCATTTCAAATTACAGTTGCTGGTAGACAATTATATTGCAATGAGAACAAGACAATGAAAGAAATGTATCTCTATGTGAATATGCATATACACACATAACATTGATTTTTAAATTTAAAACACATGGAAAGCAAAACATTGAACAGTCTCTGAATTTTGCCAAGTAAGACATTCAAGTAAAAGTTAAGTGAAATCATGCATTAAAAGAAAGAACGTTTTGTTTCTAAATGAGACTATCATTGAGTGAGAATAATCAGTATCAAGAAAGAAGAATATCTTTTTCAATCAAGCAATAATATTCTAGTCAGCTTGGGTATACTTGAAACTTGAATAAACAGTGGAGATGCCAAATATAACAGAATATATGTGCTCCAGAGAAATAAAAAGGATTTGACTCTTTTATGGTTGGGTGTTTGTTCTGGGTTTGTCAATCTATTTTGTAGCTTTGTTTTTTTTTTTTTGTTTTTTTTTTAACTGGAAAATGTTTTTGTGAGTGTGAATGAGAGCCCATAGTGCAGCCACGTGGGAACATTTTCTTTATTTTTCAAAACCTTTTTAAAACCAAAGGCTGCTCTGGTTGATAGATGAACAAAATCAGTCTTGATATAAATTGTGTGACACTTTTTCATGTATCACAGCATTTGGGGATAGGGTTAATTTAGTGTAATGAAGATAATTTGATATAAAAATATTTTGTGTATATGTAATACTTTGTTTTTAAATTGCAGTAACAGTAAGTGCAAAGCAAGATATGTAAATTATGACTGTATGATCAGATGAAGTATGAGTTCGTTTGATTACTTAAGTAGATTCAGATCCATGATAAAAACTTTGGAATATTTACAAAACAGTTTTGCCAAAATGTGATCATGTCAATGACAACAAAGGACAAGTACTTCAATCTTTTTTCATACTATTATAAGTTATTCTGGTACTAAATATTTTAATAAAATTGTTTTTGTTTTGACATTTCAGTTAGATGAATGGATGCTGGTTGTTTTTTATTTGAATTAGTCATAATTCATTTTTGCCATCTTTTAAAAAAGAATCAGCAAATTTGTTCTGTTAAAAATTATAAATAACAAGCCAATATAGGACATCTATTTGTGTGATTTTTTTTTTTTTGAACTACCATAGCTTGAAGTCTGGCCTATAAATATGTCAAGAAGATTGTATAATTAGCACATCCTTGGCAATATGTCCAGTTGGGATTACTTTTAATTTATTTCTTCCTTTGCTACTTTAAAATTTTCTGGAAATTAAAGTCCACCCAAATCTTTAAAAGAATCTTGAACAATGCTGAGCCAGCAGCTGAGAATCTAACTCATAATTTATGTTATAGAGAAATGGAATTACCTCTATTCTTTGTTTTGTCATATGTAATCATTTTAATAAAATTAATAATTGCCAGGAGTTCTTGACAGATTTAAAATAAAAGTTAATTTCTAGACCTCAGTGATCATATGAATTTTTGTTTTCCTTTGAGAGTTGACCAGGTGGAAAAAAGAAGCAGAACAGAAGGGTCCATTATATGCTGTAATTCTCCTTAGATTGTTAAGAGTATGAGATGGGAGTGCTACATTTGTATTAGGTTTTAATTTCATCACCTTAGACCACCAACCCACTCTTAGGAGTTGAGGAGAAAATATGATGATAGCTGCTAAAATACATGACATTACAATGAACATTTTCACTAAATACTGAACACAATGGGCATCATTACTGTCTGCTGTGTCCTGGAGAGAAGCTGGGCTTTGAAGCTTGACTGATCTCTGTTTGGTCCCAGCTCCGCTACTTAATTATGCTGAGATCCAGACTTATCCCTCTAGACTTCAATTTCTTCATCTGGAAATGAGAGGAATGAGTTAGGCACTGTAGAGTTTCTTATGAGGGTTAGAGATAACATAAAATACATGAAGTACCTACCATAGTACCTGGAATTTAATAGGTACTCAATAAGTGGAAGGTAGTAACCCATGGTTATAATAGCTCGATATAAGGTTTATGTGCAGAAAATAGAAACACAAATGTAATATGAGATGTGGGTAGTTTAACAAAGAGCTTTGGGAAAAGAAAAATAATCTGACATGAAAAACTGCAATCAAATTGATGGAAGTAGGTATAAGAGTTAGAGAGACCTTCAAGAAAGATCATCTTATTGCCATTACTTTGAACTTCTCAGAGAAAAGCGTAATGTAGAACCACAGAAGGGAAGAACACACTTGCCAGTGGGGAAGACTATGTTTGAGAGCTTCCTTCATTGAGATTACAAGATTTGTTTTTTCCTCGACTTGTCCTGCTTGATTCAGTTCAAGATGACTAAGAACTCAAGCTGCTGTCTGTATTCTCTGCCTGTTCCAAGTAGCAGTGTTTCACAAACAGTGGCAATAGCCATGCTCTGCTTTTAAACTCATCCAGCTCAAGGGCATAACATGCAAATAAACAGAGAATAAGCACAAGCTGCCCAGACTCTTCTGTCTAGGGCAGCTTAGGTCGACCATGCCTTGGAAGCGTGTGGGGTGGTAGTAAGAACTTGGACGGGCACAATCTGGCTTTGCCTCTTCACTCATTAGTGACTTTGGGGAAAAAAAGCATGAGCTTGCTATACCCAGTGGTTGATCTGTGACATTTACCTACTCCAAAGATCTGTTGTGAGGATTAAATAAAACAGTGGATATAAAAGTGCTTTGCAAACTACACGGTACTGTACAAATGTTAACGATTATTAATGTGTTCCAGATGATGCTGAAAGGCCTAATATCCCATACTTTTGGCAATACAAATTGTGGTTTCCATGAAGCATATGGAGCCCTAGATTTCATCAAATGCATGTTATGATCTAACATCTTTGAGCCCTTTTGAGCACAAAGAACCCTTTTGGCCTGTCCTGCCTTGTAACTATTGCGACCAGAATTAGGTGATTCTTTGTCACACTGCAGGGATTGAACCCTGACTTCATGACTTCCTAGCCTTGAGACCCATCGTCGAGAGGGACTAAAAATTTGGGACCAAAAAAAAATTTAAGATGGGAAAAACAGATTTCTGAGTTTGGAAAACCCAGCTGACGTGTTCTTACATCTTTATACAAATGACTTCATGGAAATTTATCCCATGTAAAGATTGTCTCAATAAATCTTCTGAAACAAATTTCAGCCCAATGTCAGTTTCTGGAAACATGATCTGCCTTGAAACAAATCTGACTTCATTTCATGACTTTTCAGCAAAATTGAAAATTTTAATTCATCTTTTAAAAAATCATGTATTTAACTTACGTTAGCTATAGAAAAACGTAAGTAGTATGAAGGACACGAGATAAAAAAAACCCTGCCCTATCTCTCTACAACCATAATTCCATCTCCCAAAGATAACCATGGTTAACAATGCCTTGGATATGCTTCCAGAAACTATGCATATACAAACCCTTACTCTTCTGACCTGCACTTTTATTCACGTACTGCACTTGCACAATGTTCATAGTGTCCTTCAATGTCCTTTCCGCCCCATCCTCTGTGTGTGCATCAACATATGTTAACGTCCTTCTTTTAAATGAGTGTAGAGGAATTTATTTTTGGTTCTTACAATTTATTTAGCAAATACCTTCTTTAATGGACTTCTGAGTTATTTCTGATGTTTAGTTACAAGAAGCTAGTGTGTTCAAAGTGTTGTCCTACATCGAGATAGGAAACTTGTACCAGAATATAAGTCAACATAATGCTTTCTTTCTCAAGAAAGTCTCTCTATGAAGAAAAAGTTATCACCTGAACTCACAGTGCTCTTAGAAGTGTCGTTGATGTACATTCCAGCCCCTTATCTCCTCAAAGATTAATTACAGGCACTTGGTGGATTGTCATTGCCATGCAAACCATATTTGAGGAGCACGATTATAAATACCAATGTGGTAAATTTCCTGTGCATACATGCCTTGGCACTTGGGTGATGTTGTGTATGAGCTCACTGGCCATTGATCTTTCTTTTCCGTGAACTGCTTGTTCGTGTCTGCCTGCCTGCCTGCCTTCTATTTCTTAGTGATTCATATGAATTCTTTGTATATTTAAAAATTAAGTATTTTTTCTATCATATATATTGCAAGTATTCTCCCAGTTTTCTTTTTATATATTTTGCTTTAATAGTATTAAAATAGTTTAAAATACAGATGCTTAAGCTTGATCTGTGCGTACATTCAGGGCGTGTGGGGTGCACTGCTTATGCTTGGTCATCCTTGAGAAGTCGTAGTTCAGAGTACCAACGCTGGAGCCAGAACACATGTCCTTAGTAAGTGAATGAATAAAGAACCTGTTGTACAGGGCCTCCCTGGTGGCGCAAGGGGTTAAGATGTAACCTATGAAGCTCACCGCAACCACTGTGGCACAAGTTCGATCCCCAACATGAGGTGACCCACATGGTGCAGCAGACCTCTCCTGACTCACCCGCTGCTCCCCTCAGCAGTGTATTTCAGTCAGTCTGCCTGTTCTGTTCTCCACTCTGTCTCTGGTGAATCCTCTCAGCCCCCAAAACTCTGGCCTGTACCCCAGTTCTTGTATGCATAAATAAATAAATCTCTAAAAAATAAAGTTAAAAAAAAAAAGAACCTGTTGTACAACAAGACAGTGAATGCGATTCAGAGCTAAAAAAAAAAAAAATGAACTATCATGTCATGAAAAGACAAGGAGGAACCTTAATATTGACATGTATTACTGAGTGGAATAAGCCAATCTGAAGAAGCTAGGTACTACATGATTCCAGCTGTACGGCTTTCTGGAAGTGGCAAAGATGTGGCAACACTAAAAAATCTGCATTTGCCAGGGACTGGGTGGGGGAGGGGCAGAAACGGTGGGGGGGATTTTGGGAGGGATGGATAGGCAGAGAGTACAGAGGATTTGGGGGGCAGTGAGTATAATCCATATGCAATAATGATGGATACATGTCATTATACATTTATCTACAGAACTCTGGGTAATAATGAGGTGTCAATGTAGGGTCATCAATTTAAGAAGTGTACCACTCTCATGGAAAATACTAAAAATGGGGGGGAGCTATGCACATGTGGGGCCAGGGAGCATCTGGGAATCTAAAGATGCTCTAAAAAGATAGTTTTTTAAAAAGATTTATTTATTTATGCATACAAGCACTGGGGTGTTGGCCAGAGGTGTGGGAGGGTGAGAGGATTCACCAGAGACAGAGTGGGGAACAGAATAAGCTGCTGCTGAGGGGAGCACCAGGTGAGACAGGAGGTCTGCTGCGGCCTTGTGGGTAGCTCCATGCTGCAGTGGCTGCGGATAGCTTGACAACACTGAGACTTAACCCCTGCATCCCCTGACAAGTCCTAAAAAGATAAAGTTTTAACAAAAATTAAGTAGATACCTGTTCCCTCATCTTCCACCCCACACTTACCCCACAAAAAGAAACCTAGCTGGTGTCTCAAAATGATTTACCAGATAATTTACTAAATATTGGCTCCTGAACTCTTTTTTTTTTTTATTTATTTATTTTTAATAGAGGCATGCTTTATTTATTTGTTTGCTGGTTTGTTTGTTTGTTCTGTTCATACATGCACTGGGTACAGTCAGAAGCGCGGGAGGGTGAGAGAATTCACCAGAGCCAGAGCGGGGAGCAGAGCAGGCAGAAGGACCGAAGGACACTGCTGAGGGGAGCAGCGGGCAGCAGGAGAGGTCTGTGCGCCATGTGGGACCCTCCTCTGGTGGCCGGGGAGCAGCCGGGGATCGAACCGGCGCCGCAGAGGCCGCGTGCAGCTTCGCAACCCAGCGCTCAACCGCTGCGCCACCGGGGAGGCCCATGGCTCCTGAACTCTTTATTCAGCCTCTTACTACCGTGGTGAGTACAGGTGCTCCTCATCCACGATTTTTCAAGTTGACAATGGTGTGAAGGTGAGGCGCTTACCGTAGAAAATTCCGTTGCAACAGTACTTCTAATTTGAATTTGAATCTTTTCCTGGGCTTGGTGTAATATACACGATGCTGGCAGCAGCAAGCCGTGCCTGCTCAGTTATGCCATCACAAGAGTCAGCGACCTGCAGTGCACAGTGCTGCCAGCGTTACATTTTTGACTAGCTATATTCAATTTAGGGTGGGTTTGTTGGGACATAAGACGACTATAAAGATCTGTATAGAATCCTTCATTACTGTTCTTCTTTCCAAAATTTTCTTGTTTTTATTCTTATCTTTTAAAGATAGTCATGATAAATACTTTATCTGAATCCCCCATACCCCAAACATTGTGCTGGTATTTGTGAATTGCATGAATATATAGATCAATTTCTACTTTGCTCTATTGTGTTTTATTGTCCAATTTTCTTCTGTCATTTTATCCTCAACGGTTTTACTTTCCCTCCTTTGTGTGTTTTATAAATTTTATTCATTAGTGTTTAATCATTGTATTTATTGATTGTGAATTAAATTTTTCCATTTTATATTACATTGTCACTTGTCAGCAAGCTATTCCCTTTTAAATATTTTTATTAGACATCCATATTAATTGGCATTCTATTTTATAATTAACTTTC